CCCCCCCCCCCGCCACACACCCAGACCCGAGCTCATCCTAAAGCCCAAAAATTAGGGCCTCAACAGTGCTCTAATATTGGGGCAAAAAAACGAAAGGCAGACAACAGGCCTTGTTAATAAACAATGTAAAGGAAAGGTCAGAATTTCTTACTTGAATTTTATCTAAGCTAGCAATTTAAATGTTGTTTTCATTGCTTACATGATTGAGAAACAAAAAAGATGTCATGGCACCCCCAAGGAACAGCAGGCTTTGAATGGCTTCCTGAGGGAGGTACCTTGCTCACTGCAGTTGCACTACATGCTTGCTCATCAATACAGTATTAAAGCACTTTCCATTAACGTGCTAAAAAGCATGTCATGTTAATTCACTCCCTACCAAATTTAGGAAAAATGCATGCATGTGAACATGAGCAAGGAAGTATAGTCATATGGAGGTTTGTTCAGGGCTTTGTTTTAGCATACATGTTTCTATATATTAGAAAAGTCAAAACCAGTTGAAACCATCTACAAAGCCTTGCTATATTCTTACTTTCATATTTTTATTATCCATGCCAATTAGTTCTGCTGCACATAAAGGTATTTTCTATGCTCAAGATTATCACTAATGCAGAAGTTGTTGCAAATTACATCTTTTACTATACTTCATAGTCAACATGAGTCCATTTATCACTGTCCACAGTTTACTAAATAAGGTCAAAAGTCAGCAGTGTTCAGTTCCTCACTCTCCACTGTGCACTTACTTCAATACGTCTTGAGCAACATTTGCTCTGACCACAAACATTTAACAACTTTGAAATACTTTGCCCTGTTACTTAAAAGACTGAATTTAAACCCATGTCCTTAGCAGGGAAAGATGACTTCTGCTGAGGAACTGCCATCAAGTCTGACCACTGAGCAAAAGCCATCTCCTCCTCGGCCGCTCTGCGCAAATCCTGGCAATCCAGTGTTCTCCTGTATGCTGGACCCCAAAACACTCATGACCAATGGTTCTGTGACAAAGCCTCAGGTTTTACTCTTTAAAACAACTTCAAGTGAATATGGTGCTATACCAGCTGTCTCACAGATGGTACCCTGTACTTACCATCCAGTGAGTCACACCTTTTCAAAACTCTTACTCACTTGTGGGTTATTTGAAAATAACTCTTTAAACACTGCCATTGACAGAAACAGGGTATGTGACAACATGAATTTCCAGAACACTCTGTAAAAGTGCATCTCTATCTTTTTGTCATAGACCTAGACTAGACATTTAGCTTTAAGAAAACAAATCTGACTGACTTCAGTACTTCTGGGAATAACTGTCAATATCCAATTTATTTTGGTTTTGCTGGTTTGAATAAGATGTATCAAAAAGGATGTAGTCCATTTGATGATACAGTTTTCTCATTCAGACCTAAGCCCATAAAAATAAAACTTTTGGAACTGCTATCATAAACGTGGATCTCTATTTTTATTGAAAACGTTAAGCGCAAGAGGTGTTGACATGAAGGTTTCTTTGTCTTAAAGTATTTTCTGATTTTAAAACTTAAAGTCTGTTGCCACATTTCTATTTCGCAGGACAGTAATATCAACATAATGCATATGACTGTGTATGGTATACACACCATCAGCTCAGGTCAGAAGTTTAACATCCATTTGCTCCCAATATAATCAGATGAAACAGGCAGATACTGTTCATGCCACTGAGCACATTTAGTTCCCTACCCTTTAAAGAAAGCACTGTTTCTACTTCATAGCAGGAGAAAAAGGTGTTTGTCTACATCAAAAATAGCCTTAATTAGCTGTAACAAATCACTCCAACACAAACAGCATATATAGATGTATACAGATTGTTCTGGATCCAAAACAGAAGATCAGAAACTTCAAAGGAGTGTCTGCTTCTTTGCATTTTCTTTTTCCCATTGCCAGTGTCTCCCTTCCTTACCCGTCACTTCCCCTCAATAATTACATTAAAGAAAATAGCCATATTTTGGCAAGTACACCATTAGACCCAACTGAGGCACTAAAGCTCCTGCACTGTCCTTCTTCCAGCTGCTATAAAGGAAGCATTTTCACCCCCTTCCATTGCAAAGCAGTAGGTATCTGTAGGAAAGAAGGAACATTTCTGACTCACCTCAGCACTTCTCTCAAGACTCTAAGTAAAGCAAGTGGAAGCAACACCTGCCACCTTCTCCCTGTTCCAAGAGTGTAAAATTTACACAGAATAACATATACCTGCATAACACATTTTCTGCTGAAGACAGAAATCAGTCATAAATGGTATTTAGTGCTACAGAAAGGAGTGTAGTTGAATTTAGATAGAATGCTCAACAAAACAGAACCACTTCAAGTCCAGTGTTTCAGACTGTCACAGTAACACAAAGGCTAACACATCTATACAAACAATACAGTTCTAAATTACATTTTTCCACTATCCAAAACAGGTGCAGGACTTCAAAGCATGGTGTCACGTTTTATATAATTTTACAACATCTGTAACCTTACCAGGATGTTCTCGTTTCTGAGAATCTTTAATCACAATAATATCCCTGAGATACTGGCAGATATCAACAAAGTACAAATTAAAACACTAGCTCTAGAAAAAAAAATATATTCTCAAGTAAATAACAATGTTTTTGTTTTAGAATATGCTTTCCAGTTACAGTTTAAGATTGCTAATTGTAGTAAGATGGAAGAAGTAAGTCATATTCATTGATAGGACCATTTTTCACAGGATTAATTTACTATATACTACAATACAACACTAAAGATTTATAATTTTTCCAATTACCTTGTTTGGTCAGCCAAAAAGTTGTTTCAAAGTAGTCTGAAAACATTCAATGTACATTACTTAATGTTAAAAAGCATGTTCTCCTTGACATAAAACCTACCTCTATGCTCCCAGGTGGCGGTTTTCCAAATTAGATGCCTGAATTAGAGTATCTAAATTCCCTGTCTTAGTTTCAGATGTGCCAAACACTATGAACAACAGGAAGAAAGCTTATAACCATAACCATACAACACACAACTGTTCCATCTTTGGTGGAGAACAGAATAATAAGAAGTTAACAGATGTTGACTATATGGAGCTACTGAAGTTGTTTGAAAAACATTATCTAGATTCAGTAGATATTTCCAGATAATTTAGCTATGAGTCACTTTAAATCAAGTACCAAAAGCATTTTAATATTCAACTCACTAGTATTTCCCAGAAAACAAAAATGTATCAATACATATATAATATATTTAATCTTATTTATTATAATACTACACTTTCCAAAAATAGTTATTCATATATCCAAACTTTTACCAATTCTGTAGGTGTTCAGAACGAAACAGAAAACATACTGAAGAGAACTCACATTCCTTCTCATACCCTCCAAAAGGCCTCCCTGTCAAAATGTTCCTTTTTTTAAAATACATATTAAGAATCTTGTGTTGTTCCATGAAGTAGGTGTCGAATCTTCTCAGCATCTTTTTCTATAGTTTTATTTTTAGGATCAATCTTGAGAGCTGCTTCATAATCCTGGAGACCTATTACAGATACATTAATAACAATGTCAATCAATAATGCAAGAACATCTTCTTCAGCAACTAACTGGAAAGAACTGCTCCCTAGTCGAATGCATAAAGTATTGATCTTGAGTTTTACTGTTGGGCAAGATGGAATCAGAATTACACTAGGTTTAACTTCTGACAGTAAATAAATTTAAATTCTGTTTCTGTTATTTTGTAAGACATTGTAGTGGAAACACCCTGCTGCACAAACATTTCTGGGTGTTGAAACATGAAAACAGAGCCTCTTCATTCACATACACACACACATACACTTATATATGTGTGTGTGCATGAGGGGAGTGTTCCAAGTGTGCTGCAGAACAGCTAAACAGAAATTACTTGCATGTCACTATAAATCCATGTGCATTTTTTCACAAAATCAAGGTCTCACCTTCAGTATATAATTCCAGCTGACAAAATGCTGTTCCTCGTCTTACATATGCTTTTACTCGAGCGCTCTCATTATCAGGAACTGGTGGTGTCAGCAGTTCTAGTGCCTTCACAAATGAAAACATCCAAAATATTCAGAGGAAGATTTTCCACAACTCTCTTTTTTTCTCATTTAAACACATTTATCTTATCTAATTACTATTACTATACAGTAACAAAATAACCATTCAAATAGAAATAGAAAACAACTCTTCACATTTAACTAAATGGTCTGCATGTCAAGTCATAAAGAATTGTGTCTGTCACCCCATGGTTTGCTAAATACAGTTTAATTGCCATAGCTAAAAACTTACAAATACTATATTAAATGTTTATTGCAGTCAAATATTAAATTCTGTCTTCATAAATGATATTACATACCATGCTACAAAAAAAAAAAAAAAAAGGCAGCCCTAAAAGAGCACATATGTTGTAGCAGTAGCTACTATAAAAAACAAATTTAAAGCTTCAAGTACTTAGTAGATCAAAAAATAAGAATTCTGGGAAGACTTTATCCAGCTTATTCAGGTGCCGTCTGAGATCACTTCTCTCATTGCACAAAAAAATGGCTATTAAAACATGTCTGGTTTGTCTGGTTTTTTTTTTAAGGCATCCTCCTCATCAACATCACGTGTTTGTTTATTACTTTCCCATAAAATGAAAAACACCCAAACATATATAAAAGGTATCTGTGTATATTTTCTTTTGTTTTCTTTTCCTGCTAAAAGTTATCTTTTTCTCAAGTGTATATATTGCTGCAATATTTTACCTGTAAAGAAACATGTCCTGAGTCAAAATATTTGTCCCAAATGTGTGGGAGCATGGTATGAGTTGGTTTTGGTTGTTGTTTTGTTTTGTTCTAAATTTCTGGAAGTTCATTAATCAACCACTATCAAATCTTAATATTTCACCATAGCTTCATTATATCAATTTTTAATTTAAAATTTTTGAATCACACTAATAATTATTTACAGATCTGCTTGAAACAGAAGCAGAACAGTTACAAATCACACTCATGTACAAGACGACAGTCTGAGAACCTACAGACTTATACCTTTGAGGAATCTTCAATAGCTTTATGTAAGTTTCTCAGCTTGAGGTGGCAAGCAGCACGATTCAGATAGAGCAGGGGAAGCTGATTGTTTAGCTGCACTGCAAGGTTGTAAGCATTTACAGCAGCAAGATAGTTTCCTGTTGCAAACATTTTGCTAAGGAGAAAACAAAAAGAGAAACACACACTTTAAACAATATGTCACAACATAAATATCTACTTACTGTTAACAATTCATTCTCAAATTTGTGAAGTTTTAGCAGCTTTTTCTTGGAAATTGCCATTTCTAGCCTTTCCTGAGAACAACATAGCTGAAGTTCAGTTAAACTTTATGCTGACAACATAGCACACAGACACACAACAAAACCAGTCACTGCTTAAAAACAGTGAAGAACAGTAAGAAGTGGACACATCTGTGCAACACAGGACTAACTTTAAAAGCTACGTGTCTGGTTATGATTGCCTCATCAAACCTTTCTGTATAACACAGCTATGTAAATGTACCAATAATTTTATTAAACTTCTTAAGTTTGTTTTAGACAGATATTTAACCTCTAAATAAAAAGTACAAATGAAAGGAAATCCACTTAGGTATAACACTGCACTGACTTAACTGTCCTCATACAACTGTCCTCATGCGTTACATGTTGACAATGATTTTGTCTATCAAGAGCTTCAGCAATTACATCTCACAACTTGGTAAGATGCAAACCCTGTGAGCTGTCAATAAATTCTCTGCTATGTAGACGTTCATCATCTGCTTTGAGGATAAATAGAAAATACCAAAACTAAACAACTGACACACACTACATAACTAATATTTCATTGTAAATACACGTTCAAGTGGAATCTGTCTTACTTTCCTTTGTCCTTTAACCAATCTGGGTTCTTCTCCTCTTCTTTTAAATCTTCCAGCTCAGATAAATCAGCACTTAAGGTTCTTCGAGCTTCTGCTTGTTTACATAGCCACTGTAAATACACAATGTGCAAGTATTCTTTCTGAAGGAAAACTCAAATCCAAAACAGGATTTTGCTTTCATATCGTCACTCACCCCTACCAAAAGAATTCTATTCGCCACTTATTTTGGACAGAGAGAAATATTTAATAATGTCAAATATAAAGAACTTCCAAGTTTCTCCAAATATTTTATTGCTATGTGAGAAGGTTACTGCATGACTAATACATTTTTGTTTGTTTTGGAACTCCCCCAATTACTCTGTGTGTTCATTTAATAGAGCTCAAAAGAGCCAACTGTGAGCTTCTTTTTAAGAAGACAGAACTTAAAGAATCTTAAATCTAAGAGTAAAGACATTTCAAATTAGGTACTTAAGGGAATAAAATTAATATTGCTGCTTTTTTTTTTGTTTCGTATTCTCTCCCAAAAAAAGGAACATGCCATTTATTACTTTGCACAATCACATGCTTGGTGAAAATAATTTTTATAGGTGCTTATTTAAATCTTAATTTAAATAAGACTGCCTTACTTGGAAGATAAAAGTATTGTACAGGTTACATTCACTGGACAGGGGTAACATTCAGGTAACTGAATACACAGTAAATTATATGAAGCCAGTAAGAAGCATCATACGAAAACAGAGGGCAATCCTTACCTCCTCCTCTTCTGCAACACGAGACTCTCGCAGAGCTGTAGGAAAAACTCGTGCTGTAAAGTTGACTTCAATTGTAGCAGCAGACCGAGGAGCTGGTAACTGTTCTTCTTTTAAATTGTCTGAAAAAATGCTGCAGGAACCATGACCTGGGAAAAGAATTGGAGTACGGGAAATGAAAAATGAAGCAAAAGAGATTTTTCTGGTTTTCTACCAAAGTCCAAAGTATACCTAACTTAGAAATTCTGCACATTAGAACTAAGGCTCTAACAGCTTGTTCAAGAAAATGTTTGTTCCTGCTGCATCATGCCATCTATTTACTGGGTACATTATCATCTGTCACAAATTAATTTAAGCTCCTCTTACACCACCATCTCTGTCACTTACATGATTCTCTGACAAGGCAACTGCAAAAGCTAAAAATAACCTTATCAAAACAAACAAAACAAAAATGAAGTATTTTCTTTTGGTTTAGTCCCCCAAATTTTCTCTCTGTGGGGCCAAGTCATGGGATAGAGGGAGCAAAAGGAGAGGGCATATTTCTAGGAAATCCAGCAGTTAGGTTTCCTCAGGTAACATGAACTCCACCCTCAAAGAGTCTGCATTACAATGTCAGAAAGGCTTTCTGGTTTACTTTTCTAAAGCTTAGAAAAAAACCTGCCCTTGTGTTTCCAAAGACTTCAAACAAAGGCTAAGAACTCACTTGCTTTAGCTCAATAAAGTGCCTGAAAATAAAGACACAAAAACAACTGCAAACTAAAATAATCGATTTAGTATTATGAGGAAAGGCTAAGAGACCTGGGGCTTTTCAGTCTATACCCACACTTCCAAGAATTACAAAATACACTCCAGTAATACAACCTTTAGGATGTTTGAGCCTGGACTTAGAAGTTCCTTCATTAGGAATCCTAGTTTCATTATTTTTTTCCTTTTTCTTCTCCTTCAATTGCTCTACTTCTTGATGCAGTTCCTCTTCTTTTTGTACTCTCTGTTTCTCAGCATCTTTTTGCTGTTTTCTCCATAACTCCAACTCCTCAGTGACCTTCTGCCGCTCCTTTTCTTTCAGAGCTTCGATCCTCTTTCTTTCTGCTTCTTCTAGCTGTTTGAATTATAAACCAATGAGATATGTAACATCTGACAATAAGAGGATGACTAAGTAAAAGTTACCCTTACCAGATTCATGTCCCAAGCGTAGTGTCATCATTAATGTGATCAGACAAGCAGAGTTAGGAAAGATGCTTAAAAATTATGTGGAGAGTAAAGATTTCTGATAAGTTTTAGAAGTCATCTCTTGTAACTATCTTGCTACCACTACCCAGGTATGATCCAGACACATTCAGAAATAAATTTTACATGTAAACAGTGAAAATCCTAGCCATATTCCAATCCTGATCTCTAGAATACACAGAAATGTGAAATATATGGCTTCATTTGCATACACTGTTTCATATTTCCCCTCTTCTCTTTGAGACTGAATGGATACAACAGTGCTACTAAAGTAAATCACTGCAGCTCATTTTGGTCCAAATTTTTGCAATCTTAAAATATCATTCTACTTTTAAAAATCCTTTTAAGGAAAAATGAAGTGACCAGACTAGTCACATCAAACCTTTGAAGAATGAATCTCAAAATACACATAAAGGGCAGAACAACAAAGATATATAAACACAGAAGGTATCACAGCAAGTCTGATGCAAAACATAACTATGAATATGTAAGAATATTTTTTTATAAATCAGTTATTTTGACAGTGCCAAATGACTAAACTTGTGCACTGATGGAAAGGCCACAAAAATTTAGTTCTGCAACATGCATGTAGTTTCCTTTCAACTGACAAAAATATTAATTCCTCACCAAAAAAAATTTTTAGTATTACTAATGGAAAATAGCCATTTATAAGTAATAGAATTGAATCATGGAATCATCCCGGTTGGAAGGGACCTTGAAGATCATCAAGTCCAATCATACCCTAAATCCCCCTACCATAACCTAATTTACAGGTTCAGTGCTTAAATCATGTCACTAAGCACTATATCTACATTTCTTTTAACACTTCCAGGGATGGTGATTCTACCACCTCCCTGGGCAGCCTGTTCCACTGTCCAACCACTCATTTTTCTGTATCATTTTCATATTTGGTAGTAGATATGTTTTAAGTTCAAAGAAATAACAATGTTTAGCACCACTGTAAAAAAAAATAATTGGTACTTTTCATATTTTTAAGGGACATCTAGCTAAGCAGCTGCCAGATTAGTTGGTCATTGCTTACATGTATGTGTCTTGTAGAGTTCCTTCTACACTTACCTTCATTGTGGCCTCCAAGGCATATTTTCTGTGTTCCTGTTTTGTAACTTTTTTTGCTTCTGCCTCCTCTTTTGCCTTTTCATGGGCTTGTAAAACAGCATTCTCTCTTATATATTGCAGTTCCTCCTTGCTAGCTTAAAAAACAAGTTGTAACTATTTTAATGATTTAGGCCTGAAGTTCTACAGTTATGTACCATATTAAAAAAAACTGATTCCTTTTGTTACTTTGCCTGGGGAAATGCAACACAGTTCAAATTCCATAAAACAGTCAAGCCCATGTTTACAAAAGAAAAACTAAGATTTGCTTACACAAAATGTAAATTTTACAATAAACATTGTTTTCTTTTGTGCCCACTACAGCACCTAGTTGTTCTTTGTTTTCACACACGTTCTATTTTTGGCAATGAACAACAAGATTTAATTTAGCAGGTATTAAGCAGAAGTTTCTTATTCCTTATTATAGTTTGCAAAGTTTTGGCACAGTTTGGGTTTCTTCCATGCAACCTAGTCTTCACAGGAGAGAACTTACCATTTACTAGAGTTAGGGAATCCCACATGGCAACTTCTTTTTTATACAAAGTGAAGAAAATGACTCCATTTCCAATCTTTGCTGTGCTATTTGTGTCATCAATAGGTGCATATAAAATGGCTTCAAATAAATAGGGAGGGATGCTTACCTATAAAAATATAATTCATGCTTACTAATATTTACCATTTTAAATTAAATCTTAACTGTTCAAAATGCTCAGAACCAGGACACAGTAAGCCTCATGAACACATGCTACTGATAAAACTAATTTTCTTATTTGCAGTATGGAAATCATAAAGAAAAAAGATAAAAGCAATTGAAAATGTTGGTTTTTCAGCACTGCAACAGAAACCGTGGGCCTCAAATTTAGAATTATTATTTATAAGCAGATGTGTATAATGCAGGCACTTTATGAGAGAAGAGGCAGCTGGCACCTGCTGAGTAGCAAGGGCGTTAGTACCGAGAAGAAGGAAGAGTGGTAAAGCTGTTATCTCTAGTTCAACAGGTATTTAACAGCCGGCAGCGTACAAAGAGAGATTATAGATTAAATATTATAACAGATAACAAACTTGACAGCGCTGCCGGGGTGCGTTAGGCGTGGGATTTAACGGGGCTATCAAGCAAGGCCCAGCCACAGGCGCCGGGCACACCGGCCTCACGGCGGGACACAAGCCCGGCGAGACGAGCGAGGGCCCCACCTTCAAGTACCGCTCGGTGCAGAAGATGTTGTCGGGGGTGGCCCGCAGGCCGCGCAGCGGCAGTGAGAGGTAGAGGGCGGCGGGGCTCTGCCGCCAGCGGCTCTCGCCCAGCCACACCGGCATTGCCGTTGCCACGGCCGCTCACCGGTTGCTAGGGCAGCGCCGCTTCCGGCGCCCGCCGCGACACTTCCGGCCCCGCTGCGCCCGGGAGGCGCCGCGCCAGGAAGGGATGCGCATCAGTCTGAGCTGCTAGGAGAAACTGTTACCGCTGTGGAGTGATTTAGCGACACAGCGGAACTTGCAAATGTCCTCTAAAAGCAATCAGGTCCTGCTGGCAGCTCTGTGCCTTTGCCTCGCAATATTGTCCGTTTTGTTGCCAAAAACTTAGGTAATTTGCACATGGTTGCTCAGCCTTCCTCAAACAAACATCACACAGGATCTGCCACCATCAAGTCTAGTGTGTAGCAACTGCTTCCAGGGAACATGGATTGAAGCAAGCAAACACATCTGGATAAACGTTGAGGTACATTTAAGCTCCTCAAAAGTATATAATTACTTAGAACTATTTGGAAAAAATCCCAAACCAAAAAGTCTAGTTTTACTCCTTTCTTTTAAAATATAATAAAAAAGAGTTAAACATTATACACATTAGCTAAGATTTCTGATGTTTATCACTGAAGATGTAATATTTTATGTTCTACTATCTATATTCCAAAGCAATGTTCAAATAGTACTGGTTACTAGGTTACTATTTAGGTGTGTGTGTGTGTGTATATGTATATATGTGTCTGTATCTATAGATGTATGAGTAGATACCACAGAGGTTTAAAAGTTTCAAAGCAAGATATCCATCATAACTGATAGGATTTGATTTCTGGGTTATTCTCCACACTCAACTCACCCACACCAGCACCATCTGGATAAATGCTTGCATGGACTGGGATCTAAGAACTGAATTCAAACATACATGAGCATTCAAACATACATGTGGAAAAGAGATTTAACTGAAAGTCAAAAACGTGTTAGGTATTTTTAGCACGTGTAACTACTTTTTTTTTAAATAAAAGCACAATGCAGGATTGGTATTTTCAGACTTACAGTGGGATCTGCACCATGGCATGAGGAGTGTTGGTCAGTGGTGGCAGGCGAGAGCTCTGTGGTTTATAGCTCTGAACCTGGACTTAAACCATGATGTCTCCATACACAGACTACTATTAGTCTAAGAAATTCTAAGAGGAAATTAAAATGCAAAAAAAATAAACCTGAGGAAAGATTCTCCTGTGAGAACACAACTGTTTGTTTTGAACCTGTCTTATGTTACCTCGATTTAATCTTTTAGCTGTCCATATTGAAGACAAACTTCACTCAAGTGCAGACAAGGGCAAAACAAGGAAGTTAAAAGCACCCTTCTGTGCCATTCCGTTTTGTATAGACCTTTCTCCACACCAATATAAGTTATTTTTTTCCTAGAAAGACTCTTAGCTTACTTACATTTATTTTACATACCTTTATCTCCCTTGCTGACCTTCAAAGCTTTCCCACTTCTACTATATTGAAAAGGAGAGGCTGAAGCTGCACACAGTACTCAAAATCCTATTTGCCTGCTACCTAGATGAAATAATAGAAGAGTTGGGGGTTGGAAGGGGTTGTGTTTTATTTTAAATCAGGAGTTCAAATGGCAGCATTGGCTAGAATTATTATAATGTAACAGTAACTCAAATCCTACCAATTCAGAGTGCAGCTGTTGTCATCCAGAATGCATCCTTCACTTGTGGAGAGGTCATTCCTGGACAATAAAAGCCTTAGATTTCTTGAGTGCTGGTCTTCTGCTAATGCCTTGGTCATCCAGGTGTCATTTTTAATTTAATCACAGAGAATATACTGAAATGAAGCAGCTTATTATTTATTCCTGCCAGAACATACCATGTGTACACACTTTACAAGACAGGACACAGTTCTGGTTACTTGTATTTGGTGTTCTCAAGTTACACATTAACAAAAAAGTCTTATTTACTTAAAAGCTAGAGCTCCAACGGAAAGGTATGTATTTAACTTGTAGGAGACACAGTAAATGTCACTAACATTTCTCTAAGTCAAAGTAAGAGATTTAGCTGCTGAAAGACACAGAAGGAACCAAGCAAGGTCTTGGATCAACTTTAAAGGTGTGGTACTAACATGTATCTGCAGAACACTACCCGTGCCACACACATTCCATGCTGCTAGCTTCCTTGGACAAATGAGTGAGCTCTCACTATGACACTTTTGCAAAATAAGCCAGAAGAGAGGTCCACTAGGATCTTTCTTTTGTTGGCACTAACTTACCAGTCAAAAGTGCAAGAAACTTTGTACTGAAAGCAGAGAACATTTTCTCTGGAAAACTTTATTAATAAACTATTATCTCCTGTACTATAAAGAATGGAGATTCATATTTCAGTCAAATTTTAATAATAATTCTAATACTCTGGACCTTCCAGTTGTTAATACATACATATATCTGTTCCAGGGGTTATTTCATTTCCAATGGCTTCAGAGGAGGGAAAACAATCCTTTTAAATAGTTTACATTTTCTTATCTTTAACATAATAACCTTTTTTTCTCCCATCTTGTCTAAATTCTCCTTAATTTCTCTCATTCCTCTGTATTTTTTAGGAAGAGCAGGAACAATTTATGAGATGCTACTTATTTCAACAAACAGTTCTGCATGTATGGATTGGGGTGACCCACATCAGTGGCTTTTAAAAATTACTGTTAAGGCACTGATTTGGTATTGGTTATTTCTAGCATTTCAACAAACAGGAATAGCTTAGTAATAATCCTATAAATTAGAATAAAGAATTATTTGCACAATCTCTTTCCAAGTGCAGAAAGCTCTTAAAAATAATGCATCCAAATACCTGTTCAGCCAAATGGTGCCTGAGCCTTCCATCCTGTATGAAAGAAACATGGTTTATGTGCAAGACTTCTTCTAATCTGCTTTGAAGTTACTTCAGACTAATGCCTTTACAGACCAGAAGACGTCTCCAAAAGAGCCAGGAGCTGTCTTTCCTGAACAAAACAACTTCATACTGTTTCTTGCAGGATTATGCCTATCCAAATGCATTCTCACAAGCAAAACATCAGAAGAGTGAATCTAGGCATTATATCATCTTCATAAAATGAACAGGCTACTTCCCCACAAAAATTATCTTTATTTTAAAATAAACTGAAACCAGACAACAGAAAGCAATAAAGTTACATACAGTACCGGACAAAATCTACCACACACATTTTCCAGGAACACTTGACTCAGATTCTGATATATGTTCTTCTAAAAAGTAAAATATCACATTGTTATTAACAAAAAAAAAAGTAAATGTCAACAATCTTAATCAGCTTATATTTTGCATTGCTTGGATGGCAGTAGATTGGTAACTTGGCTCTTTCAACTCATCTTTACACTGAAAGGAGAATGTGGGCAAAAAATCCAGGTCAGAAGGCCCTAAAAACAGTGTGTGTGTTTTAAAGGCCATATACAAAAGCTTGGAGAAGAGACTGCCTTTTAAGTAAAAACTCATCAACTCCATATTATTTCACATTTCAGAAAAAAAAAAAAAAAATCAAGGCAAAAAAAGAGAATAAATATACTAAAAGCTTGCCCTCCTTAAATTATATGGAAGTTCAGACTCAGACCATCCTTCAGAAGATGAGCGTCTAGAACAGACACAACCACCTCTCATGACTCCAATCCCATACTGTCCTCAACACAGCAATTCCTGAATTACAGTGCACAAACCTCAGAGTAAAAAGGTGGTGTTGGATCACAGAGTATTTTGAGGCAGAAAGTTTTTTTGACCATAAAAATTGAAAATTAATCGCACAGGGCAAACAGTACAAAAATAGGTGTTCCCTGTGATGTTGGGATAAGATATTTCTGAACCAGGAAATTAAGGGCAACATTGAAGACTTTAAGCTATAGGCAGCACCTCTAAGGGGCTGAACACCATTCAGTATTAATTACCTCAGAACTGATGACACGTAACACTAAGACAATAAAGGGTCCCTTTATTTCTATATAAAGCATAAACCAACAAGAAATCTGAGGAGTTCCATACAAAGGAGCGAATGTGTGTAACTCAAGATGTAGTGTAGGATAGTTATATTGCCTTAAGAGTTCTGCTAAGTACACTTAATTTTCCAGTTTTAAGGAAGAGTCTATTCTAATATAGAAAGCTTCAGACAAAACTCAGTAACTGCAGAATAACTTTAAAATACATCCAGTTCTACATCCTTCTGCATGTGTCTAATCACATTCAATAGATAAAAAAGTTCCATGTTTTGTAAACCAAGTAAAGAGTGTTAGGATAGAATTTTCACACCCATGAGCTTATTACCAGATGTTCACCCATTTGTCAGTGGATAGTATTAATAAATTCATACTAACAGTTATGGCAACAAGATGACAATGCACGTAAGTGCTGTGTGTTCTGAAAGGTAGTAATTTTTAATTACCATTAATTGCTACCATCTATCATACCTCATTCTATGCAAGATACCACAGCAGCTACCAATCCATAAACAATAATGTTTCATATACTTCATAGAGTAGCTTAAAACACATCATGATATGAAATAATTTGTATTACATAGTAATTTAATCCCTGGCCACAGGGTTAATGTTGGACAAAGTCTGGAAACTTTTTTCCAATTTGAATTACATACATTAACTTTGCCACACACCACAGCACCAATGCATGTATTACTTCAGACATGCTCTAATTTAAAAGCTAAACAAAAAGAGTTGTTGCAAAAATACATGTCACCAATGTGGAACACATTCAAGATTGTATAAAAAGTACTGAACTGATATCCCAAAACAGGTATATTTAAGCAGTACATAAGGAAAGATTAGTTTTAATATGAAACAGTCATTTAAGTCACATACAACATGATAAGAAGCATGACTTCTATTTTTTTTTTAATGTTACACCAATACTTTTACTGCCAGGCAATGTTTATTTATAAAATGAAAGGGTTATTTTAATGCAGATGTGTTATTGTACTAAGTTGGCATAAAGACAAATGTTTAAAAGGTGCTACATTTGAACACCATCGATTTTGTAAAAATCTCAAACCATAAAAAGCAT